GACACTCTGGGTGGCATTGTCCCCATGGAGGTGCCACTCTTGGTGGCCCAGGTGACACTCCTGGTGCCCCAGGTGACACTCCTGGTGGCCCACATGCCACTCTGGGTGGCATTGTCCCCATGGAGGTGACACTCCTGGTGCCCCAGGTGACATTCCTGGTGCCCCAGGTGACACTCTGGGTGGCATTGTCCCCATGGAGGTGCCACTCTTGGTGGCCCAGGTGACACTCCTGGTGGCCCTGTCCCCACAGAGACGCCCCCTTGTCCCTTTGTCCCCGCAGGTGCCACCCGGTGCCAGCCGCCGCCGTGTCCCCCGGGCCAGCGGGCGGAGGGGGACGGCGCGGGTGCCACCTGCGTGCCGCTGTCCCCCGACGGCGACAGGATCATCGGGGGGTACCCGTGTGTCCCCATGTCGCAGCCCTGGCAGGTGCTGCTCTACGGCCCGCTGCGCTGCGGGGCCGTGCTGCTGCGGCCGCTCTGGGTGCTGACTGCTGCTCACTGCGTCAAGAGGTGACAATGACACCCCTGGGGACAGGGACACACCCTGGGGACAGGGACACACCCTGGGGACAGCAGGGACAGGGACAGGGCCAGCTGCTCTGTGCCCCTGCGCTGCGGGGCCGTGCTGCTGCGGCCGCTCTGGGTGCTGACCGCTGCTCACTGCGTCAAGAGGTGACAATGACACTCCTTGGGGACATCCTCCGGGGACAGGGACACACCCTGGGGACAGCAGGGACAGGGACAGGGCCAGCTGCTCTACGGCCCGCTGCGCTGCGGGGCCGTGCTGCTGCGGCCGCTGTGGGTGCTGACCGCCGCCCACTGCGTCAAGAGGTGACAGTGCCACCCCTGGGGACAGGGGACACACCCTGGGGACAGGGACACACCCTGGGGACAGCCCGGGGACAGGGACACACCCTGGGGACAGCCCCGGGGACAGGGACAGGGACAGGGCCAGCTGCTCTGCGCCCCTGCGCTGCGGGGCCGTGCTGCTGCGGCCATTGTGGGTGCTGACCGCTGCTCACTGCGTCAAGAGGTGACAGTGACACTCCTTGGGGACATCCTCCGGGGACAGGGACACACCCTGGGGACAGCAGAGACAGGGACAGGGACAGGGCCAGCTGCTCTACGGCCCGCTGCGCTGCGGGGCCGTGCTGCTGCGGCCATTGTGGGTGCTGACTGCTGCCCACTGCGTCAAGAGGTGACAAAGGGACAGGGGACACCTCCTGGGGACAGGGGACACACCTCGGGGGAGAGGGGACAGCCCTGGGGACAGGGGACAGCTCACAGGGACAGGGACAGGGCCAGCTGCTCTGTGCCCCTGCGCTGCGGGGCTGTGCTGCTGCGGCTGCTCTGGGTGCTGACCGCCGCCCACTGCGTCAAGAGGTGACAGTGCCACCCCTGGGGACAGGGGACACCTCCTGGGGACAGGGACACACCCTGGGACAGGGACAGGGCCAGCTGCTCTGTGCCCCTGCGCTGCGGGGCTGTGCTGCTGCGGCTGCTCTGGGTGCTGACCGCCGCCCACTGCGTCAAGAGGTGACAGTGACAGTGACAGGGGACAGCCCAGGGGACAGGGACAGGAGACAGGGGATGGGGGTGGGGACAGGGAAGGACACCCCATGGTGACACCGTGTGACCCCCCCTGCAATGTCCCCATCCCCCGTGTCCCCAACATCCCCAATGCCACCGTATCCCGATGTCCCCGATGTCCCCAACACCTCACGATTCCGGACACTGGGGACACTGGGGACATTGGGGCGATCCTGCCTGCTGTCCGGCTGGGGGACGGTGACAACGCCGCAGGGTAGGACAGTGATGGGGACACTGGGGACACTGGGGACACTGGGGGGATTGGGGGGATCCCCAGGGCCTCCTGCCTGCTGTCCAGCTGGGGGACGGTCACCACGCCACAGGGTAGGGACACGGGGCACACTGGGGACATTGGGGGGATCCTGCCTGCTGTCCGGCTGGGGGACAGTGACCACGCCGCAGGGTAGGGACACGGGGGACACTGGGGACACCTGGGGACACCTGGGGACATGGGGACACCTGGGGACATGGGGACACCTGGGGACACCTGGGGACACCTGGGGACATTGGGGACATTGGGGACACTGGGGACATTGGGGACATTGGGGACATTGGGGACACTGGGGACACTGGGGACACTGGGGGCACTGGGGACACTGGGGACACTGGGACATTGGGGACACTGGGGACATTGGGGGGATTGGGGATCCCCGGGGCCTCCTGCCTGCTGTCCGGCTGGGGCACGGTCACCACGCCGCAGGGTAGGGGACAAGGACAGGGACGGACAGCACAGGGGACACTGGGGGGCAATTTGGGTGAAATTGTCCCTGGCCCCTGACCCCGCTGTGACCCTGCAGTGGCCCCTGAGTAACCCATGTGTAACCTGTGAGTAACCCCCGAGTGACCCCAAGTAACCTATGAGTAACCCATGAGTAACCCATGTGTAACCCCTGAGTAACTGATGAGTACCCCCTGCATACCCCTTGAGTGACCCCTGAGTAACCCCCGAGTAACCCATGTGTAACCCCTGAGTAACTCCTGAGTAACCCATGAGTAACCCCTGAGCAGCCCACGGCGTGTTCCCACCCCTGACCCTGGTGTGACCCCACAGTGACCCCCGAGTAACCCTCGAGTAACCTCTGAGTAACCCCTGAGTAGCCCCCAGGGCCCTCCTGGGGGTGTCCCTACCCCTGACCCCGGTGTGACCCCTGAGTGACCCATGTGTAACCCATGTGTAACCTATGTGTAACCTATGTGTAACCTATGTGTAACCCCCGAGTAACCCGCTGTCCCCGCAGTGACGCTGCCCAAGCGCCTGATCTGCGCCTACGTGCAGCTGCTGTCGGACGCCGCGTGCCGGCGCGCCTACCCCGGCCGCATCACGCCCAGCATGCTCTGCGCCGGCGTCAGCGACCGCCGCGTCGACTCCTGCCAGGTCAGCCTGATTCATCCCAAATCCACCCCAAATCTGGCCAAAATTCACCCAAAATCTGGCCAAAATTCACCCAAAATCTGACCCAAATCTGACCAAAATCCGACCAAACTACGCCTAAAATCTGACCGAAATCCACCCAAAATCTGACCCAAATCTGGACAAAATCTGGCCAAAGTCCACCAAAATCTGACCTAAATCTGCCCCAAATCTGGCCAAAATCCAACCAAAATCCATCCAAAATCCTACCAAAATCTGGCCAAAATCTGACCAAATCTGGCCAAAAATCTCTCCCAAATCTGACCAAAATCTGACTAAAATCTGGCCAAATCTGGCAAAAATGTGGCCAAATTCAACCTCACATCTGCCCCGAATCTGACCAAATTCAGCCCAAAATGTGCCTCAAATTCAGCCAAAATTCACCCCAGATCTGACCAAAAATCACACAAAATCTGACTAAAATCTGAACAAAATCAACCCAAAATCTGCCCCAAATCCGCTGACCCCTGAGTGACCCCTGACCCCAGAGTGACCCCAGAGTGACCATAACCGACCCCTGAGTGACCGTAACTGACCCCTGAGTGACCATAACTGACCCCTGAGTGACCATAACTGTCCCTGTGTCCCCAGGGTGACTCCGGGGGCCCCCTGTCCTGCAATGGCACCCTGCAGGGCATCGTGTCCTGGGGGCTGCAGA